ACCCCCAAGACCTTCGACGTGGGCATCGAATTCGGCAACTCCAGGAATCTTAGAGTTCACGGCAGCTACGAGTTTTCCGCTTCCCGGTCCTCTCTCAACGCCACACTTCTGACTCCAATCCAGAAATACGAAGAACTCTCTCTCACATCCTTCTACGAAAAGAACCCTGGAGAACTCTTCGGTTCCCTGGGATTCGCTTGGGCTTTCGATAAGCAAATTGCTCTCAAGGGATATTGGCAACATCCCATCGACCTGGACCTCTCTTTCGCTTCCCCATTCGAACCTGTCAAGGACGTGAGGCTGAAGATCGAAACGACGACTGACAATGAAGGCATGGGACTCGACGCGACTGCCTCCTGGAACGGCCGCAGGTGGAGCCTTGGCGGGAAGGCAAGGAAGGATTTCGACAAGTCCGAATTCCAAGCCCTGCTCAACGTAGAAGGAAAGGAAATCAGGTTGGTTTCAAGCGCAAATCTGGACACCTCCGATGCCAACTTCGATCTCGCGCTGACGACACCCTTTGTGGGATACGAGAAATTCCAAGTTCAGTGCTCCTCTCGCAAGACCGACGAACAGCTCACTCTCAAGTACAGCTTCTCCACTCCCTTCGAAGAGGCACGATCGTCCGACTTCAAGGCCGACTTCCGCTATCCCAAGCGCAGACTCGACGGAGAAGTATCCTTCAAGTACAACGAGCACCAGCTCGGCGGGAACTTTCAAGTGGACGCCGAAAGTGACGGAGTCATCAACGTGAATGCAGAATTGGAAACAACCTTCCTCGCGATGAAACGACTTTCCTTCTCCGCTGTCGGTCGAAGCTCGAACAACTGGCAGAACGCAGAAATGGAGGCATCCCTCAACCTGCCTTCATCGCAGCACAAATTCAGCTCTTCCTACAACGCTGATCCTCGAGACATGCAATTCACTCTGAAGGGAGACACCCCGTGGCTTCCATCCGGACAGGCCAAATTCAACGGAAAAATCAAGGCATCTGGCTTCGGTAATGTAGACGCTTCTCTCAACGGGCTCATCGACGCGAGCGAGTACGGATTTAACGTCCGATACGCACTGGAGAACACAGGCCTGAAAGTGGAGATCGAGGATCGAGCCGTCTCCAAGCTCTTCGGCATCCCCGAGACCAGCTTCCGTATCCACGCAGAAGGGGTAGGAAATTCAGGACTCCTAAAAGTGAACGTGAGGAAGGGCACCACAAGCTATGAAGCATCTGGTCAATACAGCCTGACAGAAGACAAATTCCAGCTCCAAGGAGAGATCCAATGCCCCAACTTCAAGAACTCCCTCTCCGTCGAGGTGAAGCACGACGGCTGGAGAAAAGTGGACACTGACGTCAACGTCACTGGCACCGAGACTCACATCGCATCGATGAAGTACAACGCAGATCCTCGAGACATGCAACTCTCTCTGGAGGGTAACACCCCGTGGCTTCCATCCGGACTGGCCAAATTCAACGGAAAATTCAAGGCATCTGACATCGGTCACGTAGAAGCTTCTCTCAACGGGCTCATTGACGCGAGCGAGTACGGATTTAACGTCCGATACGCACTGGATAACACCGGTCTGGAAGTAGAGGTCGAGGATCGCGCCGTCTCCAAGCTCTTCGGCATCCCCGAGACCAGCTTTCGCATCCACGCAGAAGGAGGAGGAAATTCAGGACTCCTAAAAGTGAACGTGAGGACGGGCACGACAAATTACGAAGCATCTGGTCAATACAGCCTGACAGAGGACAAATTCCAGCTGCAAGGAGAGATCCAATTCCCCAACTTCAAGAACTCCCTCTCCGTCGAGGTGAAGCACGACGGCTGGAGAAAAGTGGACACTGACGTCAACGTCACTGGCACCGAGACTCACATCGCATCGCTCAAGTACAACGCAGATCCTCGAGACATGCAACTCTCTTTGGAGGGTAACACCCCGTGGCTTCCATCCGGACTGGCCAAATTCAACGGAAAAGTCAGTGCATCTGGCTTCGGTAAAGTAGATGCTTCTCTCAACGGGCTCATCGACGGGAACGAGTACGGATTACTTTGGAGGGTAACACCCCGTGGCTTCCATCCGGACTGGCCAAATTCAACGGAAAAGTCAGTGCATCTGGCTTCGGTAAAGTAGATGCTAGAGAGTTGCCCGAGTAGCTGCCCTTGCTCATGCCTAAGTTGCAGGCTATGCGTGACCCCTTGTGGCCAGACCTTCATCTCCAGCTCCTAGCGCGGCAGAGGTTCGAGAAACCGTAGGGGCTCTGGTGCATCCGCATCCACGCAGAAGGGGAAGGAAACTCAGGACTCCTAAAAGTGAACGTGAGGACGGGCACCACAAATTACGAAGCAACTGGTCAATACAGCCTGACAGAGGACAAATTCCAACTGCGAGGAGAGATCCAATGCCCCAACTTCAAGAACCCCCTCTCCTTCTCCGTCGAGGCGAAGCACGACGGCTGGAGGAAGGTAGACACTGGTCTCACCGTCACTGGCACCGAGACTCACATCGCATCGATGAAGTACAACGCAGATCCTCGAGACCTGCAACTCTCTTTGGAGGGTAACACCCCGTGGCTTCCATCCGGACTGGCCAAATTCAACGGAAAAATCAAGGCATCTGACATCGGTAACGTAGACGCTTCTCTCAACGGGCTCATCCACACCAGCGAGTACGGACTCAACGCCAGATATGCACTTGAGAACACCGGCCTGAAAGTAGAGGTCGAGGATCGCATCGTCTCCAAATTCTTTGGCATCCCCGAGACCATCATCCGCATACGCACAGAAGAGGAAGGAAACTCGGGACTCCTGGAAGCGAACGTGAGGTCAGGTACCACAGACTACGAAGCATCTGGTAAATATAGCTTGACAGAGGACAATTTCCAATTGCGAGGAGAGATCCAATGCCCCAACTTCAAGAACCCCCTCTCCCTCTCCGTCGAGGCGAAGCACGACGGCTGGAAGAAGGTAGACACTGACTTCACCGTCACTGGCACCGAGACTCACATCGTATCGCTCAAGTACAACGCAGATCCTCGAGACATGCAACTCTCTTTGGAGGGTAACACCCCGTGGCTTCCATCCGGACTGGCCAAATTCAACGGAAAAGTCAGTGCATCTGGCTTCAGTAAAGTAGATGCTTCTCTCAACGGGCTCATCGACGGGAACGAGTACGGATTCAACGTCCGATACGCACTGGGGAACACCGGTCTGGAAGTAGAGGTCGAGGATCGCGCCGTCTCCAAGCTCTTTGGCATCCCCGAGACCATCATCCGCATCCGCACAGAAGGGGAAGGAAACTCAGGACTCCTAGAAGCGAACGTGAGGACAGGCACCACAGATTTTGAAGGATCTGGTAAATATAGCTTGACAGAGGACAAATTCCAACTCCGAGGACAGCTCCGATGCCCCAACTTCAAGAACCCACTCTCCCTCTCCGTCGAGGCGAAGCACGACGGCTGGAATAAGGTAGACACTGACTTCACTGTCACTGGCACCGAGACTCACATCGTATCGCTCAAGTACAACGCAGATCCTCGAGACATGCAACTCGCTTTGGAGGGTAACACCCCGTGGCTTCCATCCGGACTGGCCAAATTCAACGGAAAAGTCAGTGCATCTGGCTTCGGTAAAGTAGATGCTTCTCTCAACGGGCTCATCGACGGGAACGAGTACGGATT